GACGTATAGACTACTTATTATTAATAGCTATAAGAGCTACTACTTAGTAGCTTTCTAAGATCTCTATAAAGAGATAAAGATAATCCTTCTCTATATACCTCTCTACTCGTTGCACCTCCTATAGCCTCTTAATATAGGCTACTTCTTACTATTAAAGCGCGCGTATAGTAGTGCTATCTTAGTCTTAGCACGTAATTGTATCTACTATATTAGTAAGGAAACCTTCCTACTAGCGTTTAAAAAGGCCTATTATAAGGCTATTATACTAGAGAATATCTAAAGAGAGTTTTAAGGTACTAGGCTTACTCTATACGATTATTATATAATTATATTATAGCTTAACGTCGTATTGCGTACGCTAACTCTACTAGCGTAAGAGACTACTACTTAGAAGCTAAAAACGCCGCGTAACGCGCGCGAAATAGAGGCGTAGGCTACGCTTATTTAAAACTATATATAAATCTAGCAAGAGTCTTCTATAATATCTCTTAAGAAGTAGATTTAGTAGTTAAGTACAGGCGCTTAGTAGATAGCCTATAATATAGTGTTAATATAAGAGAGACTTAATCGCCTTAAAGCTACGATTAGTGAAGCAACAAAGCGAAAAACTCGTAAGAGGCGCTACGTACAGGCAGAGGGGTCCTAGACAGTTAGCTAGATAGCTGATCAGATCGCTGAGGCAGAGGGTGATAGGTGTAATGATAATGCAACGTCTGCGAAGAGGGTGCGCAGTGAACGGCGCTGCGGGCGTTGCAGCCAAATTGGACATAACTCTCGCACTTGCTAAGTAGAATTAGAGGATATAGAGAATAGCGACGCGTCTAAAGAATAATATCTTATTCTACTTAATAATAAAAATTATATTAGTGTTGCGTAATACTATTATAAGAGTGTAAGAGTATAGAGAGGTGAGCCGCTTAGTAGAGTGGGCCTTTTAGTAGTAAAACACGTTAGAATATATCTAGTACGTATATAAGGCTCTAGAAAGGGTATAATAAGTAGAACTCTAAGTTAATATTAAGAAAAGTAAATTTTATATTACTTAGACGAAGTACTTAGACGAAGTACTTAGAGTATATCCTTACTAATAAAGGCCTAAAGGTAGATTCTAATAAGATAGAAGCCCTCCGTAACTAGGTCTAACCTACTATCATCACTAGCGTAAAGTTATTCCTAGACTTTACTAAATTCTACTAGTAATTTATTCTAAAATACTTACTAATTACTAAGCTAATTATTATACTTTAGAGCACTTTCAAGCTATTTATATAGAATTCAGATTATAACTATACCTTTAAGGGGTTAAAGTTAGCCTTACTAGCAATCTCTATCTTATATTACTACTACCTAGAGTATAATACTAAGGTAGAGACAGACGCATCTAATAGTATTATAGCTAGAGTACTATCTTAGAACTAAATAAATAGCTTATAGTACCTAGTAGCCTTCTTTAGTAAGATTCTATCTAGATTAGAGCTAAACTAAGAGATATAACGTAGTTCATAAGCGGGTGGCCACCCCAAGCGAGTGGCCACCTCCCCACTAGCACGTCGACGTCGAGACGTTATCACGCATTTTCATCATAGTCAATAAACTATCACAATATACCAAATTAATTATCAGAATCAGTACTATCACTTGCACTATCTATCTCAACTGCGCAGGTACGAAC